CGCCTCGACTACTTTTAGAAGTACGGCGTAAGATTGCATGGCAGAAGGCGGATGGGGGTGTTGCGTATGTTTTGTTGCGCAAAGGCGTACGCAATTGCGTCTACGCAATGATGCATATCTGAGGCGGTCGTTATATAGGTCTGATGTGTAATGTTTTTTGGGCCCACTGAGTCCACTTTTTAATAACACATAACCGGTTATAGGCTTCTAGGCATCCACCATAAATGGCCATATTGGATAATCGGTTCTTCCCTGCGCCTTATTCTACCCTTTTCATCTGTCGCAAGTAGCAACTACAGGTAATGCCTCCTCTAGTCCTCTGCCTTCTTCTTCTCATACGGTTTCAGGCTGCACACTTCTCAATTTGATGCTTCTTCTTGTTAAATTTCTTAAACTTTTAAATTTTCTGAATATTAAAATTTTATTATTTTTCCATCGATTAAGTTTCTGCATATTAAAATGTTGTTTCAATCTTATATCTGATGTTAACTTCAACTTTGATATTAATATTTAGTGTTCTATTAAATTTAACACCTAACATTAATGTTAATTTTCTTCAACTTTTAATAGTTTCTGCATATTAATATTTTATTTTCCGTGGTTTAAGTTTCTGCATATTATTATGGTGATTTTGTTTGTATATGTAATGTTAACTTCAACTTTAACATTACTATTTAGTGTTCTATTTAATTTAACATAACATTTGATAATGGCATCATTATAATTTCTGTAATTATGACAATAAATAAATTCTTATGAACAATTTGTTCTATTTTTATTGTGTTATATATATACACACACACACACGCCTCGGCTATACGCCTCATTGCGCAATGAGGCTTACGCAATATGCAATTTTAATAAAACGCCAGGACTACGCAATACGCAATTTCGAACCTTGAGTGTGTCAAATAAAAATGGAGGGGTTTTTTCAATAAATGTCATCTTCTTAAGAGGTTGCAAAAGTCATTTTCACATCATCAGCTCTTTTACAGCTTACATTACAACACAACTTATGAACTGTTTATGGCTACTATCAAGTATCAACCAAGTTAATTCACATAAAATTGTCCATTTATGACATGTTAAAGGTCTGAATATTTCATTACCCTCAAATAAAGATACCATTGGATCACATAAAATATGGAAAAAGATTAAAATATTATAATCAGAAGAGATACAGTCACGAAGTGAATTAACAATGAAGGTAGATTCTTCTGTCACGTGTCAATCATCATATGATAAAACTGGAATGATAGAACTCAAGCGCATCACATTAAAACTCTCACCGCACAAAATAAGACTACTTCAATAAATATGTACTGCAACAGTTCTACCTGAAAACTAAGATGGATTTTAAGTATGTCCATAAAAAAGGAATTGGTACACACCAATCTTTTTAGAGATTCACGAGAGCTAATATACACCACACAGAACAAACAAAAATATGGTGGTAATTTATTATTGTTTGGATATAAAAGAAACAGGAGCATATAATATATAATCCCTCCATCCTATAAAAAAGTTCCTCCTTTGATATGGCACTTTACTAAGAACTGTGAAATTGTGTGGTTCGGAGAGATAAATAATATGAACCACACTATTCTTTTGTTTACAAGGAACCTTATTCTGGGACAATTTAAAAGAGAAAGGAGAACCTTTTTCAGGACGGACGGGGTATAACATATCTGGAATGAAGGGGTTCACACAGGGTTGGGGTATGGTAATGGCATAATATTATAAGGAAAATTACTGGCTTTTTGCAACTGGTTAGATTTGAGGGAAATTTATCTATATGTGACTTAAACATTAATAGATTCTTAATATATGACTAACAAACATAAATCTGCCTCTATATGAGTAAATTGAAATTAAAGGGAGAAAAAACAGCATCATAACATGTACCCTACATGCAAACATCATTGAATTAGGAATGCAAAACAGTTTAGTCATATTTTAGGAACAAGCTCTACTTTTAGTCATACTCCTAGTAATCTTCTCTAGATTTAAACCTGAATCGCTATGACACAAGTAGAGACTCCACCAGTTGTGCCAGATCCATCCTAAAATGACTTGCACATTTTCTTTCATTTTATTTTTTTGGATTGGAAATGGAGGAAACATGATGGAGAAAGAATCACATATTCCATGAAATACCTTTAGGATGTTTTTACTTGGACTTTAATCTGTCCAAGACCAGACCAGAACAAACCAGACTTGGATAGTTATAAAAATACAAAGAAACCAGACAGGCAAATTACAGTCCAAGTAAAAACATCCTTAATCTCAAAATGGACTGGCATCTCTATTACGGAGTACATCGTAGGATCTACCTTTGTCACTCTTATCTCCCTCTTTCCTCCCTTCTACCAACAATTTCATTCTGCGTTTACTCTGTCCTAAAACTCACTTCCTTGTTCCCTCTGACTAATCCATCCAAGCACAACGTTAATTTGAATTTTAGACCAGTAGAAAGAAGTAATAGATATTTCTATATTAACTATATTAAAAACAGCAAACCAACCTAGCGCCTTTCGAAGTTTTGCAGATATTGCCTCTTAAGTTATACACCAACAGACCAGAAGATCTCTAGATTAGTCAAGTAAATACAAGTGTCCTCTTTATGCAGCAGTGTGTGAAGGAAACTAAAACTACGAAACATATCCCATTCAGATATTTGGGTTCAGATTTTACTTGGAATACTAAACTCTCATAAAGACTTCACCTGAATTTCTGTCCGAATGTCGTTGAAATCATAGAACTTCTTTCCAGGGATGTGAAGGAACTCTCCCCACTCCTCATCAGTTCCGTCTGGCTTCCGCTTGATCTGAAGTAGCTGAAGCACGAGGGGGCGGCGAGTACAGATGTCAGAGCCTCGGGGGAGGAAGTCGCGACCGACGAGGGCTTCCAGGACACTTGATTTGCCGCTGCTTTGGCTGCCTACGACGGCCACCTGAGGCAGCTCAATGGTGGACTGGCTGCCAAGCTGCGCGAAAATGTCTTGCAGTTTATTAACAATAGGAATCACTGAGTGTCCCAGTGGCGTCGCCGGCGTGGATGAGTTCGAATAGACAGCTTCTTCTTCCATTGAGTTTGAGAGGGGTCGCTAATGGAGATTGCGTATGAAGTGAATAGAGATCGCAGGAATTATTATAACCCTAAAGAATATTGAGAATATATATTTGGGGCAGGGAAAGAAGGTGCCTGAGCAGTTTGTGTTTTTCTTTCCTGCTCCTCAAGAATCGGGGATTACCAATAGAGAATTGAAATCGTAGCCTTGCAGGGGCTTTCATATACTTGACGAGAAAGTTTTTCTTTTTTGTGAAATAAAGAAAAGAAAAAACGAAGATCGACCTCTTTCATGAATGTGCAATTAAAAAGTTCACAAACAAGTGTTTTTACTTCGAATTTTTAGTTTTTTTATATTAATTCTAATACAATCTTTAACGTATTTAGGATGTTTTTACTTGGACTATAATTTGTCCCAGACCAGTCCAGACCAGACCAGACCAGTTCAGACCAGACCAGACCAGACTTGGATAGTTATAAAAATACAAAGAAACCAGACCTTACCAGACCAGACCAGACCAGTTCAGACCAGACCAGACCAGACCAGCAAATTACAGTCCAAGTAAAAACATCATTATCAATAAAAAATAAAAAAAGGAAAGTTTCCGAAATAGGACTAAAATAGTTTGAAAATTCCAAAATAGGACTGTCATGTTTTTTATTCCCAAAATAGGAGTAATTACTGTCAATTTTGGAAATTACTGCCATGTTTGAAGTCTGGTACTGCCAAAACATGACAGTAATTAGTCCTATTTTGGAAATAAAAACATGATATTCACATTTTGAAATTTTCAAATCCTTTTAGTCTTATTTCGGGTAATATTCTCTAAACAAATTGTCCAAAATAGGAATAAAAATAATACGAAGTATAAGATTTCAAAATATAAACACAATGTTTTTTTAATAAAAGGGAAAATGGAAACTAATAATCCAACCTTTTAGCAGTCTTCTTACAATAGTCTCACCTTTTCGTTATTCAAGAATAATCCAACCTTTGCACCTCATCTTCATTCACTGGTCCTTGACCGGTTAAGGACCTGCTATTTCAAGTTATTTTTTTATCTTTGCAAAATATGATCTTTGTGAAATGTGAGATTTATGGTATAATGGTTTGCAAAGATAAGAAAATAACTTGAAAAAACAGGACATCAAAGTTATTTATGGTATAAAGAACTTAATTCAACTTGGTGCGCCAACGCTTTCAAAACGTCTAGTCACTACACTCCGCGTTTTACTCGTTGTAGTGGCTATTGATAAAAAAAAATGACTATAATAGAGCGGATTTTTATAATGGTATCAAGAAATCATACAAGACATCCTCCAAACAGTTATGACAAAGTCTATCGTAGGTCTTAGGAATAAACATAAAATCAGTCACCTCATACAAAGCAACCTGATTCGCTAGACACAAAGCGAGCGAATTTAAGTCTAACACAATCGGAACAAAAATATCTTCTATTATACAAAAGCAAGTGGAAAAAGTGTACAGTGTTCCCGCCCAAACACTGTACACTGATGGGCCGGGTCAAGTTTGAGATGGGTGCAGAGACGGGTCGATGTAGAGGCCCAGTTCTCAGTTAACAGCATTTAATATTACAACTGTCTGGCTCAAGCCGGATCAGTTGATACAGCCATCTTTTAGAATTAAAAAATAATTTAAGAACAATGGAGCCACACAATGCCAATCTCGAGCCTCACAAACAATTAATGCAGTGTACTTTTACGAAATAAACAATTGTTTTGGTGGTACTTTTAAAGTTATAGATCATAAATAAAATCTTAATAAAATCTCGAGCCTCACAAACAATAAATACAGTGTACCGTTTATGAATATAAAAAAGGTTTTAGTTGTACTTTAAACCTTATAGATCAAAAATGAAATCCTTATGCAGCCTAGAGCCTTAAGAACATTAAATGCAGCATTTAATTAGCCGTCCTCCATCCTCCAAATCAAAATGAAGTTACCCATAACATTTCTTGAGCCTACAAAATAATAAATGCGTTGTGTACAACAAGATCTCAAAGCAAGATTGACTGGGTTTAACCATTGGTTAATACCCAGACTGCTTAACATTATGCTCCCACCAGCTCCTATAAATAACCACACAGGGATGATCGAAACACCGCACCAAGCAACATCAATTTTGTTTTCGTGCAGCAATCAAGAAAATTGAACAATGACAGGGATGTGGTCTTTAATCAAGGACATTGATCATACCAAAACAACCTGGGCTCTAAAGGTTAGAGTGGTAAGGGCATATGAAGTTCCCCCTCACTCGAAAGGAGGGGAAACACTAGAGATGGTTTTGCACGATGCTGAGGTAGAACATATTATTTTGAACACACAACTATGTAGGTTTTTAAAACTTTAATTATTAATGTTACTTTTGTTTGCGTGAAACAGGGTGATCGAATTCATGCAATAATCAAGAGGCCACAAATTGCAATGTACAGGCCTGTGATAACCGAAAACAACATCTATGCAATAAGAAATTTTTTAGTGCTGGACAACTACCAAACAGTGAAGACCACAGATCATCCTTACCTAATTCAGTTCATCTCTAAAACTCAGTTCATAAGGGATACCAAGACAGTGCTGCCTATGATGGTTTATGATTTCCAACCTTTTGATATGCTACACGCACAAAGGGTTGTGAATGACAAAAGTCTCATTGGTGGGTAAACTAAGACAATCAACTGTTCAAAATATTTTGGCAAACTGATCTAACACTTTGTATTTACTGCACTGTTTTAGATATTATCGGGAAGGTGATCGGGAAGGGCGTTGTCCAGACCCACATTTCCAGCGGTAAGACAGACAGGCATATGGAACTAACTTTGGCAGACCCAGAGTAAGTTTTGGGCGTTTTAAAAACCCTTATGGCGTTTGTGGCATATTTGTATAATACTAATGGGCCTTAAACAACAGGGGTAACCGACTAGGCTGTGTCTTATGGAATAAGTACATTAGCCAATATCAAGATTATATTAAGGAAAATGAAGGGGTGCCCGTTTTTGTGATACTTCAACTCTGCAGACCTAAAAGATTTCAAGGTTATGTAGTTTTTGGTAAATTTTTTATAAGTAATAATAAGGCAATCGCAGTTTGTTAACTATTGGATTGGATTGGATATGATGCAGGAACTTTAACTGTGACAACTTCCTTTGATGTTTCCAAACTCATCATCAATGGAAACACAACCGAGTTTATAGAGTTCCAAAGCGAGTACGATAACAACATATTAATTACCTAACAAATAATATACCATAACTCGCATTAAACAATTAAATGGTCGATGCAGATTTCCTGTAGATGGTGATGACACCATTTCACAGACTTGCCTTACACAATGCTCACAAGGTGAAGGAAGGGATGATGTGCTTAGTGGCCGCGCTGTTCTAACCACTATGAAGGATTTGCTGAAAGCTACTGAGGTTAATAGTTATTTAAAGAGCTCTTGATTTAGAAAGAAAGGTTGACTGAACCATCTACCTAATCACGTACACTTTTAACTTTTTAAATTGAGCAGGAAGATGTTTACTGGGTTCTTGCGGAGGTAGTTTCAATAGAAAACTTTCGGGAATGGTGCTACTTGGGCTGCCCAACTTGCCACAAAAAGTTAACGCCCGAGGAGGAAAGGTTTAGGTGTACTAATTGCAGCGTGACTCTAGCGGACGGGGTTTACCGGTATCATACTATCTCCACCTTATGATTAACTAACAACTAAAATTAAATGATTTAACATATTGCCATGCTTAAAAATGATTAAGTTACAAGGTCAGCGTATGTATCATGGACAACACTGGCCATGGAAATTTTGTTCTTTGGGACAGAGAGTGTATTGAAATTCTTGGGAAAACATCCTCAAGCCTGATGGCAGAAGTGGAGAAGGTAACTTCTGTACTTTGTGAGACTGTGTATCAGATAGGCAAATCCATAAGTCATACTCCCTCCGTCCCTAATAACTTTGCCAAGTTTGACCGGCACGGGGATTAATAAAGTAAAAACTGTGTGGTTGAGGTTTGTGCAGAGGAGAGAGAATTAACTGGAACCACAAATTCTTTACTTAAATGGGAAAGTGGCAAAGTTAATGGGACATCCAAAAAAGGAAAGTTGGCAAAGTTATAAGGGACGGAGGGAGTATTTTTTTATTTAACAATGTAACTGTTCCAAACTCAGAAAACTGGTGATCCAACAAGATTTCCAGAAGATATTGAAAGCTTGGTGGACAAGAAGGCCATATTCAAAATACAGTTGAAGAAGAAAAGTGAAGAAAATGCCTACAGAGGCGGGATTTCGTTAGGAGTGCTTAGTATGATACAAGATCCTAATGTTTTGGCAATGTATGAAGGAAAGCAGGACATTGGAACAGATGAGAGCGATGAGAAGACTCCAGAAAAGGTATTTTGAAAACAGCTTTCGTACAAACACTTGCATCTTAGTTTTTATAGGTTCTATATTAACAGAAAATTTCCATTACAGATTGATTCAAGTGCAGACATGGGAGAGAACTCAAACTCTGTTGGGGAGAAATCTACAGTCACTAAGGGCAAGGGGAAACGGATTTCAGCTGAGAAGGAGGTAACACCAAAAGCAAAATTCCGTTCATTCTACTCATGTACTATCTTATTGTGGAGATTTTGAATATGGAATTTATTTTCGGGTGCTAAGGTCATTGCCCCAATTGAGCTCCCAGATTCACCTACGGCTTCTACCCAGAGGGAGGTTAATGTTGCATGGAATGATGAGATAACCAAAAACCTTAACGATGAATTTTCAAGCAACGGGAATGGCAAGAAGCTAAAGATCAAAATCAAACAGGAACCACTCTAAATATGGTTCTGCGCCTTAAAGACTGCAGTGTTTTTTGTGTTGACATCTAATATGGTGTTTACTTTTGATGGAAAACTGTTTGAAATGGCAGTATGTATGCCATCGTTTTTTGCAAGTGTTGAAACGCTATGTGTGACAAACATTAAATAACTTGGTGCTCTATGTCTATTTAGTTATCCTAAAATTTGTTAAGATTAGTGTTGAAAAATATTACAGCTTGCTCTTTGTGGAGGGTATAGATATCTATTTGAACGTTTGCAGGTTTACCATTACAGATATCAGTACAGATACTGCTTCGCTAAAGGGACGTACATACTTCTATTTTTTGTGAATATCAGGATTAGGATATTATTTTGATGGTGAAACTGACAGAGTTTAAAATGTTATGATGCAGGGAGTTCAAGTTGTAGCTGAGCAGATATCTCAATGAAGGAAATGGGCTTCTATTTTGGTAGAATAAGACGCAAATTATGTAACTATGTAATTTTAGTGCAGAAAATGTATTAAATTCAAAAAGTGTGCAGTGGATACTACAAGTATGTGCAGTTTATAATAAAAGTTGTTTGTTTTTGTTTCATGGATTGGATTCAAACTAAATGTTAAAAAATAGGGCATGATTATTCTTAACAAAACTTTAAAACTGGGGTAAAGTATTAGTTCGTACCTGAACCTTTGATTCGGAAGCTGTCACCTGCAATCCCTAACTTAAACTAAATAATATTACAGACCTTTTAAAAGATTACATTAAGGGCAACCTTCTAAGGTCCCACAACTATTTCTGTTACAATTTTCTAAATGCAATTCATCTAAAGAGTTGTAGTGAACCTGAACATATCAACTGCACAGATAAATGCATCAAAAATTATGGTTTGCTTAAAATACAATCTTTAGATTTGAAATCATTATGTTGACAATTTGGAAACTCCATTTTTTTTATACATAAAGATAAAGTTAAACATACTTATACGATAATGTATTTCAGTAGGAGTTGTAATGAACCTGAACGTATCACCTGCACAGATTAAGGCATAAAAAAATAAGGTTTGATCAACAAGTTAAAATACAATCTTTAGATTTGAAATCATTATGTTGAGAATTGGGAAACTGCATTTTTTATATTGATATGATAACATACTTATATGATAATGCAATTCAGTATTTACGAAATACATTATACAATTTTTATCTAAGGTACAAAGTAGTTTGGGTTTTCCAAGAAAGTTTTGGGATTTTTAGTTTAAAGAATTTACGAAATACATTATACAATTTTTAAAAATAAATATATTTGAAATGAATTTAAGTAATAATTAAAAATAATTATGTATGTACGTCCCTTCAATTATTTTGAAGTGCAGGTTATCCTCTACACTCCAAAACCCAACCAATGTACCTCATCAAGACTTCAGCATTTTAGATACAATTGCTATTCAATTGCTATTCAGTACATAAAAACCTAGCATAAGCTAGGTTTCCAAATTATTTTTCGGAAAAAACATTTTGGAATTTTTCTATATTAATAAGCTTCGTAAAACCTTCAGCATTTTAGATACAATTGCTATTCAGTACATAAAAACCTAGAATAAGAAAAACATGGGATGAATCCGTGAAGTACATTGGTGGTGAAGCAAACATTGATCATGTTATTATCAGCCTTGATGTGGTAGCCCAGGTGTTTCATATATGAATAACCAAGGTTTCCTGTAGGCCTTATTTTAAAAACATTAAAAAAACATATATTCGTGGTAAATCAAGAAGAAAATAGTTTTAAAAATCAGTATATAATACCAAATTTTGAAAAAATTTAAATAAATCAGATTGAATAACCAAATCTTTTAAAAGTTATACTTCGTATATGTTTTGTGAATAATATCATTTCAACTTTAAAACAGTAATACAAGTGCAGCCAAGTGTTCAAGCCCAAACACTGTACAGTAACGGGTTGGGTATATTTGCAATTGGTTCAATCCAGGGGTGGTCAGTGGGTATGGTTAGGTTTACTACAGGACCAATAAAACAGTCTGTGCTTCAATTCTTTTTGGTCATATGAATTTCTTGAGCCACACAATCATTAAATGAAGTGTACTTAAAAATCTTGGGAGTACACATATAAAAACCAAACAAATTCTTGAGCCCACAAAAAATTTAATACACCGTACTATGCTATCATCTTTTACCTGACATATATAATGATTCGGTAAAAGAGTTTAAATGTATAAAGCTATATTTAATAAATATATTAAATTAAATAATAAATGTGATGTATCAAATTAATGAAAAAACCATAAAAGCTATCAAATTCTACACCAAATTTTAAATAATAATAACATAACATATACTGATTTAAAAAAAAAATCGAAATCTCAAAATATAGCCACTGTGTAATTGTGTGTTATAGGGTAATCACCATTCAGTAGTTTAAACATAAGTCCATATTAAAGGAGCATAAAATTAATTTAAATATTAGTGAAAATATTTTACATTGCTGTCTATAAAGTATAAGACATATAAGGGTAGTTGGAATACAACTCAGAGAGTTGTGATTTATAAAAATAAAACAGTTATTTTAAACCTTATTGTATAGCATAGTCAGAAAATTAAGAGTAGTAGGCGTGTAGGTCTGCTAGCATTAAATGGAGATATCAGCGATATCTTAAAGTAGGATTTTGCATAGGTCTGCTTATTAAATAAGCATAGACAACGTAGGTCTGCTCATTAAATGAGCATAGACAGCAGCAGGTAACTTCATAATTAATTACAGAAGTACTTACCAATGACCTATAACCAATACACCAATCTGTGAGCATATATACCACCACATTTGCATTAACTTCTTGCTCAGAAACTCATTTACTGAGCTCAACAACATCCAACCAGAAAGCACGCATTTAGTTTTGAGTATAAGGTGTGACAAGTGTTCTAACCACACCAAGCAAAGGTATGTTTCCAACTATGCTATTCTTTCAATTAAGCATAGATGGATAAGAGTGAATTATGTACCAAAGAAAATGGTTGGTTATTAATGTAATGAACATTCCTTAAATGCAATGTGGATCATACTTTTACTAATGAATATAGTTTAAATAACAAGTTTTAACTTTGCCATTAAAGATGAGATGCGGGTCAAGCACAAATGATTCTCCAAAATGTCATGCATGTGGGAGGATGCCTGGACTGTTTTGGTTGGTGCCATGCTTTGCGTGTAAAAAATTAAATCACTTTTACTGTATGAATCCTCTTAACAAAAAAAAGTTTACTGGGAGATACTTATGCAACGAATGTCAAGAATGGATAGATGCAGGTCATGAAATACCTAGAAGATCAGGTCGGATCAAAACCCTGAACCAGAAGTATTTCAATGAAAAAATGTGTGTGGGGATGAGTTTTGGTTGGCTAAACATGGCATGAAAATAATGCTGCATTCCCAGTATGAGATATGCCCGTGGTTTTTGTCAGTTATGTAAAAGTAGTGACCTCTTTTGTTAAAACGAAAATCGTGTGGTCTGTACTATCAGATGATATGCTCAGACATGTCCAGTTTGCTATGTAAAAGAATGCTATGTAGTGCATGAAATGTTATTGAATGACATGTAATCAATGAAATGTTATATGATGCTATGTAATCAATGAAATATCATTGAATGCAATTATGCATGTTTTTTTGAAAACATACATGTGCAGTTAGCTATACTGATAGTTTTATTTATACATTTGAAATAGAATTCTGTGTAGCTATTAAGTGAAATGCAATATAAAAAACTTAGATGAGTATAGTTTACATGTTTTCAAATTAAATTCAGAATTACATATATATTACATGAGATGCAGATGAAATTAAATCACAAATTAAGGAGTTCATGGGTTACCGATGTTCAGGCTAACGGACTGCCAGACCACACAGTTCCGAAGGCCACTATGGTGGCTGGCAGGGTATCTGGCAGTCCTATGAGATGGGCCTTTACTCAGTAACCTGAAAATATTGAAATTAAAATGAAATGAAAAAGTGTATGAAGCATCATTTAATCCAAATTAAATCATAACTTAAAATTAAAAGGCTGAATTTCCTTGCTATATTGTGATCTTTCACCATTTGAAAATAAGAGAATGACAATTATGTGTAAATAACAGCTCTTGAATGAAGAGGATTACGAAAAGCACAACAATCAACCGTAAAAGAAGTCTTCAAGACTTGACCAACAAAGGTAGCTTTGTATAAATTATCAATGTCTTTTACATTTGTGATGGTAGGTACATAAAAAGAGGTTCAGAAATAAATTTTTCTGGGAAACTAGATGAGTGTTAAGTCTGTACAGAATATGTATCGAACATTAGGGTTTCAAAGTTTAGGAATCAGATTCAGATTTTAGAAAATGTAAACAATTGAAATTCGGGAAAACTGGTAGGCATGTATGATTAGGGTTATAAAGTTTAGAAATAAGATTCAGATTTTAAAACTAATAAGAACCCTTATGAATTATAACAACAGATCTGAGATAATCTATACCCCAAACGTCAAAAACAACACTTAGTCTGAGATCATTGTGAATCACTCAGGGTTGGTGCTAAATCTGTATAGTACAAAATTAATTTTTAAGTGCTAAATCTGTACCGAATTACATTTGTGTATAAATAACGGCTCTTGAATGAAGAGGATGACGAAAAGCACAACAATCAACCGTAAACAATTGAAATTCGGGGAAAATAGTAGACAAGTATGATTAGGGTTTCAAAGTTTAGAAATAAAATTCAGATTTTAAAACTATAAGAACCCTTATGAATTATGACAACAGATCTGAAATAATCTATACCCCAAACGCCAAAAACAACACTAAGTCTGAGATCACAGCGTATCACCCAGGCTTGGTGCTAAATCTGTACAAAACAAAATTAATTTTCAAGTGTCGGTTGAGCAAAGTGGAAAACAGATCTGAGATTATTTGTAACCACTCAGTGTTTCAAAATATCATTGATTCATTACAATGAAATCCGGTCACCAAAATCGCATGCAAAATAGATCTGAGATCATTTGGAATCACTCAGTGTTTCAAAGACCTTTGATTCCTTACAATGAAATCCGGTCATCAAAATCGAATGCAAAACAGACCTGAGATCATTTTTTATCACTTAGTGTTTTGAAATCAAACTGTCATTAGGTCAGAGATCATATAATATATC